GGATGTGTTAGGATAGAGTGTATGTAACTTAAGCACCACAATGAAGTGAAATGGAGTAAATAAATATAAAGAGATGATGAGACTGGGCTGCAGTAATAGGCGGCAGCAAGGGGAGGAGATGTGGTATATTCTTTTTCCCCAAAATGATCAAAGAAGTAGCAAAAATAATGTTTTACAAGAAGTACTATAAACATGTTACTCTAATGAAATTCTACAAAAATCATTGGACCTGGCGAAGAATTTGTTACCTACATAATAAACTAAATAATTACCAGCTACCAGCCCAGTTATATTTCATATTTTTGAAGTTTACATACTGGATTCTTTTATATCTTTTCTTTTTTATTAGTTGGTTGACTTTTTAAAAAAAAGTGCAGCTATCAACAGAACTGTATTCAATATTTTTAAACTTTAGACATTGGATTGTCTTTATAAAAAGTTAACTTTTTAGAGAATATACAACTATAAGTTGAGTTTTTTTTTTTCCATTTTTTAAGTTTAGATGCTGGATTTCTTTTCTCTTTATTTTTAAAGAATGGTAGACTTTTTAAAGATAATATAGCTATCAGCTGAGTTGTATTTACATATCTTTGAAGTTTAGACATTGAATTCTTCTTATCTTTTTTAATTGATTAGTTCTAATTTTAAAGAAAATACAGTTATAGCTGAGCTGAATTCCGTATTTTTGATGTTTAGACAGCGGATTCTTTTTATCATTTTTTTATTGGTTGGTTGACATTTTCTACATGAAATAGAAATACATTTATTTTCAAATATATGTGCCATCACTTTGTCAAGGAACATAAACAAACATATAAATTATATAAATTATGATTTTCCATCTTTTGTAATTAAAAAGCTCAAATAATTGTCACTAATTTACATTTTCCTGTGAAAACTTGTTTTGACATGTTCAACGCCTAACTTTGTGATTTTTAATTTTATATTTTCATTTTTCTGTAAACAGTTTTCGAACTAAATTACAAGTACTCACAATATAATTCAAAGACATAGATGTGATTAGATTTAGATATATGAAACATACAGCCTGGATTCTTTTACTTAGCTTGAGAATCAATAATTAACTCAAAGGGCAAGGAAGAAAGAACTAAAAAAAAAAAAAAAAAACTTGTACTTGTAACCAAACTTCCTGAGCATAGGCACGATATCTGGTTTCTTCTAGTTATCCCATTATGTGCGAATAAAGATTTTAGCTCTATATTTTCAAGAAGAAGTGCATAAGATGCATGCTTTGAATATCATGCTTGAAACAAAGACTAGTATACATTTTATTTAATGTTAGTCTCACAATTGGGTACCCCAAGGAAAACCCAACCAGTCTAAGAATCTCTAAAAGAGTATAGCTTTACTAAACTAAAATCAAATTTACAGACCAAAATATTATGTATCCAGCATATTGTTGGAAATACAAAAAAATATAAATAATCATCTCCCAAAAATTTCAACCACAATCACTTGTAATTTTATAAATATCCAAGCTATATTTTACATAAACCCTAGAATATATATATATATATATATATATATATATATATATATATATATATATATATATATATATAGAGAGAGAGAGAGAGCTAGGTTCAAATGTTTCTAGCAACTATTGTGTGCATGAATGCACCAATAGGAAATTAGGAAAAAATAAATCATTAAATAAATCATTTAAGGGTATTATAGTAATCTTTGCATAGTTAATTATGATAGATCAACAACAATTCCTTATATCACGCAAGAAGCAATGATAAATATAGAACATTAGCCCTAAATCGATTTCACCGCTTCCCACCACCCCTGTAGATCGATTTCACCATTTCTCTCTGTCTTCTCTATTTGTTCCATATTCAAGCCCGAAATCGATTGACGAAACGAATGATATGTGTATGGCTGTTACAATTGTAGAAAGAAAAGAAAGAGAAGGAATGCAGAGATTGAATATGGAACAAATAGACTAACTGATCAATTTTCTTCATCGACCCTTTTCATCCGTCATCATCGTCATCATCATCATGTGTTGTCGCTTCTCCTTCTCCTTCTCCACCGTCGGGAAATCAATTTTAAAACCCTATCAGTAAGACCAACCACTTCACCAGTTTGTCATCGTCAATCAAGGAATCCCTACCCCTTTTAATGTTTGTTGTTATGAATATGAAAGACACATGCATTTGTGTTTGATAGCCGCAAGAAAAAAATCAACAACATTTCCCACTTATTCGAACCAATTACCAGGTGAGTATGGTGTGTGATTTATGATTCTTGAATATTTAATTGATTTTTAATTGGTTCGACTAACTGTTCTTGTGTATTAGTGGACGAATTTGATTTATAATCCATTTGAATAAATATCCCTAAGTTTGTAATGGTTGTTTTTAATTTAATTGACTTGGTTTTTTAGATTTTTGGGTTGTAAACAAGATTTGGTTTCGTTTGACAGGAATTGATGGCTTATTCAGGTGCAAGACAATTGAGGAGTACAATATTGCTGCTTTTGTAAGCATTAGCACTTTTCCCTTTTTGCCCTTTTCCCCTTTCTGTAAATCTAATTGTTTATTTCATGATTGCTTTTGTATGTGATTAATTTAGATGAATTCGATTAGTATGTTAGTGTGTTTGGTGTACTATATCTTATTGCATGTAAGGTGTTTGTGAAAATGTCTAAAAGAGAACTTGATATAATATATACAATTTGTTTGATCGGTGGGTTTGGATGTGCATTATATCATGATTGATTTTGTATATGATTGATTTTAGGTGAATTTGATTAGTGTGTTTAGTGTGTTAGTGTGTTTGGTTGTACTTTATCTTATTACATGCTAGGTGTATTCTAGCAGAATGTATTCTGCTACTTATATTTCACTTGACAAGATCTGATGTGTATATACATGCTTGTATGTCTTCAATAGGTTTTTGATGGACATAACCAAAGAACAAAACATAAACAATAGAATGAGAAAACACAATATTCTTTTAGAATGAGGTTAGTAACACTCATCAATTTGATGCCTATTATTCTGACAAAATTAGATTTCAATCTCCTTATTTTGTCAAGATAGGAAAAGTAAAAACATTTTGTGATGTATTTTTTGTCATATGGAAGAAAATAATATGATTTAAGTGTATTCTGTGATGTATTCTGTCAAAATTTATTTGTATAAATTCATTATGTCAGAATGTCTTTAAGAATGTTTGTTGACAAGTATATTTCCTTAACCGGTAATAATGAGTAATGCATGTTGTTCTTTTAGAATGCCTTCAAGAACGAATCAAATATTAATCATACCAGAGAAAGACTTGGAATGAAGTTAAAAAAAACAAGTATTGTGGCGATTAAAGCTATAACTAGCAGAATGTATTCTATGTATTCTGTTAGAATGTATTTTATGTATTCTGCCAGAATGTATTATATGGATTCTATCATGTTATACGTATTCTGCCATAATATATAAAGTGAGAGGAATTGCAAGTAACATGCTTTTAACCATTCTTTGTTTTTTTTTTTTTTTTTTGTATTTGTTATAGGAATGGATGGAATAACGGGTTGAAGGCATGATAGGAATAACTTGAATAATGAATAAAAGATTGATCACACTCACAATTTAAGAGTGTTGTTAGTTTTTAAGAATTTTATTCATTTTTGTTGATATTCTTTTTAGAATATGTATAATTATACTAAAATGTATAAGACTATTAGCCTGTTAGAATATGTAAGAATTTGAATTTAAGTTTGAATGTATAATAATATATTAGAATGTTGTTATTCTTCAACCAGGGTTCAAGAATTATGTTATTCTTCAATAATATTCTAACAGAATAAAATTCTGAAAGAACATCATTCTAACAAAAAAACATTCTGACAGAATAAAATCGGTTATGGTTACAAATTACATTAGAAATAAAATTGAATTAATATAAAAAAATCCAGATTTTTAAAATTAGAAGAATAAATTATCCCAAAAATCCGAAAATTTCCTTATTTAAATATAGTTGATTGTCCAAAATACTTTTATGCTGAAATTTGTGTGATTATATGGTACATGTTATCCCATTGTAATATCATAGACTCTCAGATCATGACCATTGATTATATTCCATCCGATGGTCCAGATCTATGCACTATGACACACAATAGATGTAAAAAACAAAATAACCTAGCCCTATATATATATATATATATATATATATATATATATATATATATACACTAGTCATTTACCTGCGCCAAGCGACGGGTACAAATAGTTGTTTTAGCAATTAGTTTTTAAACGCAATTAGTTCTTTTGCGCAAATAGTTTACTACACCAAATTATTCAGTGTGTTAAAAACTCGATTCAAGACAATTTTAAAACACTTATATCCAACTCACCTGCACAATACGGTGGACGGTGGAACCGCGGGTGGGGGGGGGGGGGGGGGGGGGGGGGGGGGGGGGGTTGGGGTTTACATAGTTACGTTTCAATAATAAGTTCCCTTTCATTGTTTATTTGTATTTTGGAAGTAGGTTGCTTTTATAACTAAGTTTTCGACTAACTCAAGCTTGACATTTTATATATAGTTTTATATTTTTGATACTATTTTTATTTTAACCATACTAATAAATGAAATCTAATCAATATTATTAATATATTATAAAAACTAATAAAAATTTATGTGAAAAATGTGAATTTTACATAAATAACTATAGTTGTTATGATGTATATGGTTTTAAATTTTCAATATATAATTTTTTTGTATAATATACAAATAACATGACAAAATAGATTCAACTTAAAAGACCATTTCATATTTGAACTAAAATATTGATATATAATTTGAATGAGTTTATATCAATTAAGAAGTTGATGCATATCCATATCCAAACACATCTTTCTTTTCATGTCTAAAACTACCAACTCTCACATTCAAATGAAAAGGCTCTCTTTTTCTCCATTGAACGAAAATTCACTCTTTCTCTTTATGAACTCATAATACATCATAATTGTCTT